AAACACGAAAGCATAAACTTATTGTGAAAGAATTCCATTTGATAAGAACTACTACAAAGTCTGGAAAACAATCTGGCACAAATTAGGCTTAAGCCATGTCTTACAATAAATTCAAAATGAATATGTGACCTAAATATTAAATTTCATGCTATTTTTAAAAAATAGAAAAGAAACAGATCATATACCTTTCACAGAAAGAAGTAGGAGGTGTATTCTTAACCAAACTATGGATAGAAGCTATTTCAAAAGATAAAAGATAAAATTTTGATTTTGTGAAATTACAAAACTTTTGCAGAAACAAAATTAATTCACCTAGAATAAGAAGAGTAACAATCAAATAGGGGGAAAATTCTCTATCAAAATCTTGGATAAGGGTTTGCTATCCAAGATATGAGGAAACTAACATAATGGATATAGATAGATAGATAGAAACTAACATAATAGATAGATAGATATAATCAAATGTTTTTCACTAATAGAAAAGTGTTCAAAGGTTATAAATAAATAGGTTTTAAAAAGAATTGCAAATCATTAACAACCACATGAAGTATGTTTGAAATCACTAATAATAAGAGAAATCTAAAACAAAACAACCCTGAGATTTTACCTCACACTCTGCAAATTGGCAAAGGTGACAAAATATGGGAATGGTCAAGATTGGTGAAGCTGTGGGAAGATGTGCACACATTGTTGATGAAGCTATGAATCAATATAAACATTCTGAAAAGCAATTTGTAGTCATGCAAATAAAGTGACTAACCTGTCCATATCCTTTGATCCAGAGATTTCACTCCTAAGCTTATATACCAAGGAGACCATGATAAGGAGAAATCATATACACAAAACTCATATATACAAAAATATAGTAGCACTTTTGATAATAGCAAAGAACTGGAATCAGAGTAGATTCCCATTGATTGAGGAATGGTTAAACAAATTGTGAAAATCTCAGGGTTGTTTTGATTTGGATTTCTCTTATTAGTTATTTATAGAATCTTGATAATGGTTGCTCAAAAAAAAAGATGAATATAATAAATAAAAAGAATCTTGGAAAGATTTACACAATCTGATGGAGAACAAAGTAAGCATTGCCAAGAAAACAATATGCACAATAACTTCAACATCATAAACAGAAAGAATAGCCACAATATTAGAAGATGATACCCCACTCCACTCCTTTAGTGAGATGTGGTCGATAGCACAAATTTTTTACATTTTTCAATGTATTGATTAGTTTGGCTGAATTTTTTTCTCTTCTTGTTTTCGTTTTAATTTAAAATTTGTTACATGGGATGGTTTTCTGAAAGGGGAAGGAACAGGAATATTGAGAGAAATTTTGATCGTGTAAAACATAATAAAAACACTTTTAAAATTCCGTTTAAGAATTCTGTTTGAAAATATTGTAAGTCATCCTCAACCAAGGATTTTGACTTCTTTGATTATGGTTCCTTTTGGACATATTCAGCCACCTATTTTTAAGCAAAAACAACAAAAGTATCATTTAAAATGAATTGTACTGGGGTGGTGGTGAAGAAATCTACATGTTAGATTTTAAAGTTTTACTTTATTGTTGCTTAGATAATTTTTGCTTTCAGAAAATAATTACATCTAATACAGATCTTCCAAGAGATTTGTAGGTCATATGACTTAGATCAGTACCTTCTACTGTGTCTAAGTAGCAGTACCTAAGTAGCTTTAAATGAAATTTAAAATTTAAAATTTTAAATTACATTCAGTTGCAATTTTAGAATAGTCTGTTATAGTCTCTTAAAATTATATTCCTGTATTTTCATTTCCTTTACAACAGATCCACATGCTTTAATCACTTGCTAAAAGTATTTTTGATGTCCTTGAAGAGATTCTATGACCACTTAAGAAACCCTCAACCATGAAGTAGTCAAAAGAAGTAACCCTGCATTAAGCAGTATATGCACAATAACTATCATTTGACAATTCAATTTTCAATTTTCATGCTGAAAGTATGAAACATTTTATTGTTTTACAGCAACATTAAAAAATAGCTATATTACTATCAATTAGAAAAGGAACTTTAAATGCTTCCCTCTTTAAGAAGACTGGAGTGATACCAAAAGAAAATTCATCTGCTAAGTTTAATATAGAATCCAAGAGCATCTTAAATCATTTGTCACATGGTACAACTCTGGCTATGCTGTTTCATGTGTAGTGCCAAAAAGTTCACTTACACAATCCATCTGTCATAAGCTTAATCTACAAAATCTGCAAAAGGCTGAAAGTTTTTTTATTCCTGAGAAACCAAAGAAAAAAAACCTGCTACAATATAAATCAAAATTGACTTCTTAGAATCAGATTTCAAACCCTCCTTAATTTATACTTTTTCAAAGATGAGTCAAAATTACTATTCATAGACCAACGATCAAAATATCAAAGTTTAGAAACTGAATTTTCTTACTAAAATAGTATCAAGTTAAAATTAATAGACATTCTACAATATAATTATCCTATGAAGTATTCTATAAATAACTGACAAACTACTGAGGTTCATAGTTAATAATAGTAGCTAATATTTGTATATAACATTTAATTACCATCTCTATGCTGATGATTCTCAAATCTACATATCCTGCCCTTTAGTTTCTGCTAATCTCCAAGCCAGTATTTCCAACTGCCTGTCAGACACAATGTCCAGTAGATGTCTTAAACTTACTATGTCCAAAATGGAATTCACTATCTTTCTCCCTAAGCTGTAGAAGACAACACCATCTTCCTAGTCCCTCAGATGCTAAACCTAAGAATAATCCTGGATTCCTCACTATCTCTCACCCTACCTCCCCCTATCCAATTTGTTGCCGGGCCTGTCAACTCCACCTCTGAAACATCTATCCAATATGCTCTCTTCTGATACTGCCACATACTCTAGTGAAGGCCCTTATCACCTCATGTCTGGATTATTACCATAGCCTGCTGGGAGGTCTTCGTGCTTCAAGTCTCTCGCCTTTCCAATTTATCCTCCATTCAGCCAATAAAGCAGTATTCCCAAGCTGCAGGTTTGTACATGTCACACACCCTCAACCCCAACTTAATGAACCCCCGCATCTTCTTATTGCCTCCAGGTTCAAATACAAAATGCTCTGTCATTCAAAACCCTTTATAATCTAACCTTCTCTTACCTTTCCAATCTTCTTACACACTACTCCTTGACGTGTACTTTTCAATCCAATGACACTGTCATCCTGACTCCTCCATGAACAATCTATTAGCTCCAGGTATTTTCTCTGGCTCTTCCTCATGTATGGAACACTCTGACTACTGACACCCCTGGCTTCCTTTAAGTACCAACTAAAAGACCACCTTCTACAGGAAGTCTTCTCTAACCCCTTTTAATTCCATTGCCTTCTGTCTGTTACTGTTTCCTATTTTATCCTGTATATAGCTTTCTTTGTATACATTTGTTTGCATAATATTTCCCCCATTAGATTGTGAGCTCTGACGGCAGGGACTGTCTTTTGCAACTTTTTGTATCTCCAGCACTTAGTATAGTGCCTTGCATAGAGTAGTTGTTTAATTAATGCTTATTGGTTGATAAATACAGTGCTTTACAATTTTTATCTCATTTGACCCTCACAACTCTGGGAAGCAGGTGCTATTTTTATTCCCATTTTACAGATGAGGAAACTGAGGCAAACATGTTAAGAGATTTGCCTGGGGTCACACAGCTAGTAAGTGTCACAGGCTGTATTTGAACTCATGTCTTCCTGACTCCAGGCTCTGTGCTCTATCTACTGCATTACCTACCCTACCTATCTAGTGAAATAGAATTTCACTTAATAAAATCAGGTTAACAGTATTTACTGTGACTACTAAGCATTGCACTTTGAACTAAAAAGGATATAAAATCAGTCTACAAATGTCTGAGTGTTAGATGCTATAGGGCATATAAAGAAATATAGGATAGAATTCCCAATTTCCAGAAAATTGCAAGAGAAGTATGACATAATCCCTGCCCTGGAAGAACTGCGCTTCTGTCACTACTGTATCAGAATGGACACCAAAAATAATTTTAATGGAGAAAAGGATTGGCCTTTGAAAGTATTTTGTGGCATTTGTCCTACTATTTGACTTCAAAACATTGAAAGTGCACTACTGAAGTTGTATGTATTTGCAAACTCCAATTAGGTGCAAGTCACCTTCAAAGTAGCTTTGCAAATCAAGGCTGGCTTAGAATATATTTCTGTCAACACTACATACTTAAACATTATTTCATTATTGATTCTTGAAGAGTTTTCATTCCTTTGTTATTAAAGTCAGGAGCAAGGGTGTGGTGGTTAGAGACTTAACTTAAAAATGAAAACAGTTTCAGGGTAGCTAAGTGGCACAGTGGATAGAGAAACAGTCTTAGAATTAGAAGGAGCTGAGTTCAAATCCAGCCTCAGGCATTTAACTAGCTATGTGACCCTGGAGGAGGCATTTTAACCCAATTGCCTCCACTCACACAAAAATGAATATAGTTTTGTAAACAATGCCTACTATATAATGAAGGAATAATAGTACTTGCCGGGAGATTTTGATTTTCCCAGAAAGTTAAACATATATTTTGTCAAGATTCTGGCCATTCTAAAGAGGCAATATTTCATACGAAACTTTCAGAGAGTAATTTCTTAATCAAGGCTGCAGATACCTTATTTTATAACTGAATTAACTTAGTCTAAATGAGGCGTTTGTTTTGATATATTGTTTCCCAGGGTCTAAAATAAACCATCTGCCATCTGAATTTCTGTACAATAGCCAGGGGTCCTAGCCATTAAAACTGACAGGAGTACAAACTAAAAAGTTATGGGAGATAATCCTTGGCACCTAAAAAGAGATAAAAGAGGAACGAATCAAACTGGACCCTCCACTACATGGAGATACTATGATCGTTGCAATCTAACGCAAAAGTTTGATTGAGGGCTTTGCTAAGGACTTCTTAAATTATCTAAATTGACCCCAATACCACATTACGGTTAGGCACTTTTCCATACCTTGAAAAAGAAAGGCTTTACTTCCATTGTGCAGCCCAGGAACCTGGAGTACTCCCACCGTGGACTCCCCCAGCTCTAAATCCGTCAAGAAGTCGATTTTCAAGGAGGGGTCTACTCCAATTCCCCAAACTGAAGGTGGGGGATGGACATTGGAGAAGGATAAGAGAGAAAGAAAAAGCACCATCAAAATAAAAGTCTCTTGGACTACAGGACAGCGATTATACTGGAAGATAACCAAGCTAGGCAGGAGACTATCCCTTCCCAGAATCTCACCTGTGCTCACCAGTTTGGCTTAAAAATGATTTAACACCCAAGTCCTATTTACGCGAAATATTGAAAAATCCTTCTATCTGTAAAGTGCCCTTCTGTTCACAGGGCTAAGATATGGGGCATGAACGTCCTTTAGGTCTCAGAATGGGAGAGGGCAGCAAGCTAGCCTTTCCCTCCCCATTCCTGGGCATTTTCAGTGCGACAGATAGGATAGCACCGGCTTTCCAGAACCGCCTCACGTTGGCTCTGCTTCCAGTGTCTACGGAGCCTAATGCAGATTGCTTTCCCTCAGCCCAGCCCAGACAGCACTGACCTGCTCGGAGACAGAAAATCAAACAGAATGTGGTCACTAAGATTGGAGACTCCATGGTGGGGATCTTTTCAGTTCATCTTCTTCCTCTTAAAAAAAAAAAAAAGCACCCTCTTAGAATACAAATAAATAAACGTCTGCCTCTCCCTTTGTTTCTTAATATTAATTTTTTAACATCGAGGAGGGCAGTTCCTTAAAAATAAAATGTATAAATCTGTCAGACCCTTGAACAAATTGGACTCTCCGATGTGCATATCATTCCCACACAGAGTGGCGAAGGGTAAAAAAAGAGGGAGGGGTGAGAGAGAGAGAGAGAGAGAGAGAGAGAGAGAGAGAGA